CTGTCAGCTGCAGACATAAAAGTGCCTGCTGCGAAGCAGGAGGAAAGGAGAGCAGAAAAAGTTTGAAACTAGCGGCAAAACAGGTTGGAAGATAGCTGTTTGATGTTATTTATTGTTTTTTAAATCATCCTACAGGCGCTGACATGTTAGATAAATTTGAAAAYGAGGTTTTGAAAAAATCCGTAAGACTTGAAAAAAATCTRTGAGATTGGTCTATACATCCGTATACCTGCAAAATGACGTAAAATATTTATAATTACGGACAATCCGTACAAGTTGRCAATGCGACAATGCTTGCTGTGACTTGRAACTGTATAAATTGAATTCGACCTCCCAGTACAAATCAAAATAAACCCACATCGTGTTTGCCAGTACCTGCTCTTTTCTGCATCCTCTTCATGTTGTCGATCTCATACACCTTAATGTCATAGGACTCCGGAATTTCCAGATCCATCCAGCGAGACCGCTGACCGCTGGCCGAGCGTTTCACCGACACAGGGGCATCGTGGGAAAGACGACGCTGGTTAGAACCTACGCCAGTGTAAAGGGATAATGAGATGCTGCTTCACAACTTGTTTTGCCTCTACTTTTTCAAAACGTTAGCTCTGAYGTAGTTTTACATTGATTTTTTTAAATCTTGTTTTAAATTTCACACTTGTTTTTTTGCTTTTTAATCCAAAATATAGATCAAAAATAGACATTAGCAGTCATGAACCTACAGTAAGTGATTACTGCTGCGTCACAACATTAGGATAACACATGAAGCCTCACGTCTCTAAGAGCCCTTCATTATAAGGGCCATTTACACTTTTGTTAGATTTATTGAGCAGCTTGCCCTCAGGAAAAAAGCAGCAGAGCTTTTGAGTTATTCTGTTACCCCTTCTGGGTCAACAAATTTKAACACAAATGCAACTTTCAAATGGCTTCTTTTTGCTTTTTCAGTTTGTTTTAATATGTTATTGTATAAAACAAGATATAAAGCACAAAATCCATGTATCCTGTTCTTTTTTTCTCGCTCCATAACATCATGGTAGCCTCACACAATATAATATCTTTAGGAAGTTGACTTCACAATCGCACACACCCATCTTCAAAAATTTACATTTACTCTTAATGTTCTGCATTTTTGCTTCAATTAGTGTGAGATGCCACCGGGTTCATGTATTAATGATGCCATGTCAACCCAAATTACTCTTTAACAGCAGTAAGGAAACTAAGCTTGACTGCATTTTACAGCCATGCGTCATCTCTAATTAACATCACATTAATATGTCATTGGACCAGACTACAAACCAAAAAGCTTTCATGTAGAAATGTTTATCWTTTCTATGTAGCATGTTGCAAGAATTGTGAGTAATTTTATACTCAAGGTCTCAAAAATGTTGCTATTTTGCTGTTTATTAGTTTTTAGCCATGTGTGCGTATTTGTGTCTGTTAGCAAAATAGACCACAAACCACTGCATGGATTTGGTGAAGTGTTCAGACAGTAATTAGACATACAACCTTTTGGTGTCAATCTAATTAAAATAACAACCATAGCAATGCAACATTGGTTAATACAGAAATTATCTGTTTTTTGTTTGTTTATTTGTTTGTTTTTTGTCTTTCTTTCTTTCTTTTCTTCGTCTGCTCACTTCTTCAGGGGTTGCCACAGAAGGCAARCTCACATGAGGATTTGGCAACCGTCTTTACAACCACAGACCACCGAGCTGCTACAACCCATGATCAGRGATCTGCCATCCGAGGGGGGGGTTCAGGAGTAGCTCAAACGTCCWGAGTTGGGCAAATGAGGGTGCAGGAAGATGTAGGTGCTTCACCTCTCCCACCCAAATTTTGAAAACAGTCAGGAGATCCAAACTGACTCACCTTCTCTAACATCTGTACTCCTCTACCTTACAGCTCAATGTTACAAATACTGAGAGAAAATATTGTGTGTTTGCTAAGTGGTTGTAGTCAAGAGGAATTTTCAACCAAGTGCTACACATTGGGCTTCATGCAAGAACTGTTCATACAGATTTGTTAGTTAGTTTTGCGTAAAAGTAGCCTGGTTAAAACCAGACCCTGTCCTTCTCACTTTGCTTCGTACAAGGGTCTGGACTTGATGCATAGAGAATCGTTTCTTGCAGGAGGCGTGGCCTCTGCTGAAGCATGTGTGTTTTTGGTGTGAAGAAGGCCAAGCTAAGAAGCTAACCGGAAATCGTGTGCGCTGTAAACAACCCTACTGAGAGGAGAAAAGTACTGAGCCAAAAGAGACGACTGTAAATGAGAGCTGCTGCTTTGTCAGACAAATTTATTTTGATTTGGAAGCYTTATCAACACGGACTGGCTTCATTCTCTTCCTCCACTGCCGTATRCTAAAATAACTAGCAGAMACTGCGCAGAACATYGACGTTCTGCTCTCTGATTGGCTAAAAATCTGCCAGTGAAATCCATCTCAGTGGGAGAAGTCCCAGACGCAGCAGTGAAGGGAAACTAGAATTGAGCGGAGCTGCGTAGGAAGGCAAGGRCCAGGCTAGCGTAGAAGTGAATTCATGGCATTCACCAACTATTATTAGATTTACATCTACAACCAGGAGTCAACCCCATATAAGATGGTTACCAGCATAAAAACTGCTACACTGATTTTATTATTTTAAACACATCGCAGTAGATCTCACAGTATCACTATCGCTGCAGTAGCTCAGCAGTCAGTGCTGGAGTTGTTGAGGTTTGAAACACAATTGCATCAGAAATTAAAACAATTGCCAAGAGTTTGCTTGCTGTGGCGACCCCTGAAAATAGGAGCACCCAAAACATCGTGTATACTGTAATTTTGAAAATTTGACCAAGAAACTCAACATGTGATGGCATAAGGGTGTTAAAGGTAATATATATATATATATATATATATATATAAACTGTGTAAAACTCTTTGTTTCATCATTGATAAATAATCATTCCTAAATAAAATTCATACACTTCCAATTATTTTGTTTTGTTTTGTCTAAAATAAATGATTAATTCAGTCAAGCTTTTTTACTATAATTCAATAAAATGAAACCATCATTGCTCTGAATACCAGAAAACATTACTGAAATGCACTAGTACTTCAGATAAAGGTTCTAAAGGTTCTCTGTGTGACGATAATTATTTCAGTTAATAAAAGGTCAACACATGAGGGGTTTTACCTGCATTCCCTCTCCTGCGGGATGATCGGCTGCTGCGAGTCAYGTTGAGGAGCAAGCCACTCCGGTCACTGACGGATTCTCGGTTGGACAAGCTGCTGCCAGTGGCTTCACTGTCCCTCACCATGCTGCCGTAGCCACTGCTCACCATGCTGCTCCTGTTAGAGAAATGCAGGGATGTCTTCCCCATGGCTGGAGGCAAATCTCCACTCAGAATACTGGTGGTGTCACTGGTGTGTCCGTTCAGGTCGTCGGCCATACGAGGAGAGGTCACCTGGCTGTATGGGGAGGGGAGAGGGGTCATTTGATCCAGTCCTGCCGAGGTTGGGCTAAAGGATCTTGCCCTAAGGAGGTCTGAAAAACWCCCATTGACAAAGCCCTGAATGGCAGACTTTGTAGAGGAGCTTGTGGAGCTCTGACTCGGAGTCCGGCTAATGGAGCRATAAGATCGAGGAGGGGAAGAGGAAAAGAAGGAGGAGGTCCGCTCAAAGCTAACTGTTTTGCAATCGGGCGAAAGACTGGCACTACGGGACTGTTGCAGGCTTTTGTTAAACTGGCTGAGGTTTTTTATGCTGGAAGACGATAGTCGACGAACTTTGGGACTTCCTGTCTTGAGTTTTCCCACAGCAGAAAGCTTTGAATGGGTGTTCTTACCAGACTGAGGTACGGAGTTTTCAGAATGAAAGACATGATGGTCAGAGTGAGGATTTCTTCTGGGACTCCTGTTGGTCCTTGGAAAGGTACAATCTCCCACATAACTTCCTTTATAACTAGCTTTACAGCCAGCTTCAGTGCTTCCTTTGGAGCTTCCCTTAGAGCTCATGGAGGTGTTGCTACTGCCTCTTTCCAGAGTAGGGAAGTCCCTTGGGGTCCTTCCGAGGGAGTTAGTTCTACAAGCCAGCTGCTCTAATTTGGTAGTGAAAAGYCTGCTACTGTTCTGAGTGGGGGATTTTAGCCTGGTGCTTATACTGTCATGTTTTCCTGTTGTATTTGCTGCCAGTGCCGATACTGAGGCCTTCGTTAGAGAGCTGCTAGAATCACCTTTGAATTTTGTTGCGAGTTTTGGAGAAGAAGATGAGGTATAAACATTGTGGTGTGCAGGCAGCTGCTGTCTGTCTCGCCTCCTCTCCAGAGTCTCCCCTGGGCTCCATGGGTTAGATGATGTCACCTCCCTTGAGTGGTTGCCTTGTTGGTTGGGGGTTTGACAACCTCTTGACAAATTGCTTGTTTCACAAGAAGCAGGGTTGATTTCTTGGCAACCAGGTGGAGTGCCAGTTCTCTGAGGGATGTTTCCAACATGTCTGCAAGCAATGTTTCCCCCCTCTGAGATCTTTTGATTGTTAGAGGTRCAAACATGCTCACAGTCTCTAGGGTGGCCTTTGTCTGTATTTTCCCTTCTCTTTTCACACATTTTGTTTTCTCCGGGCTTTTTGCAGTATCCCTTATCTTTAAAGACTTCGGTTTCAGAAGAATCTTGATCAGAAGATGAATAATATGCCTTAAATGACTTTTTAGCATGGTGTGACTCAGAATCCAAAGTTTCATTTTGCTTTTCTGGACATTTGACAGTTTTTCTTTTAAGCTCAAGCTCTGACTTCACGCTTTTTCCTTTTTCCTGAGGAGTCTCCTTTTCTTTAGCACCATCCAAATCACAGTCCATATCTGTATTAAACAGCATGGGATTTATAAATGAAGGGAGGAGTCCTTTTTCTCCTTTTAATTTATTTAGGCTCTTTTCAATGTTGGCACCTGTGCCTACAGGCTGAACAACAGAAGAAGCTGCAGCTGAGGAGTCATCACTGACGTCACTGATAATCCTGATCGGTTGAGAGCAAGCAGAGCTTTTGCCATGTGCTTGCGGCTGTGCAGGCTCTCGGATGCAAATAATGTTCCCACTTGTGTTCCCTCTGTCATACGCTCCACTGATAGTCACCTCCTCAACCATAGAGAAGACAAGTTCGTCTTGACCTGTTTGATCCAGTGGTTGTTGAACAGTCACTGTGATAGTGGCCTTCATTTCCTTAATATCCTCTGTGGTGCAGTTAGGTAAGACATCTCCAATTATGGCACTTTTACCCAAGGACTGTGAAGAGGAACAAGTGGGTGAAGGAGATATGGGGGAGCTTTTGCCCACTGGGGAAGCTCTTTTGTCTGGTTTGAGCCAATTAGAAGCTTCATGACTCTCTTGTTTTTCTGAAGGTTGAAGGGCAGAGGAGCTAGTGGCTGTCTTTCCCTGAGAGTTTGCAGAAAAGTGCTTGGAGGGGAAACTATTATTACCTGACTTGACAGGTCTAGAGTCGGGAAGATCAGAACGGCAGGTTCTAAGTCCTAGAGCTTGATTCAGCAATTCCTCGCTGGAACTAGTWGCACTACATTCCTCACAGTCAAACAGACCAGAATCCTCTCTCTGGATACTATCTCCGGGGTATGCACCATCGGTTTGCTTTTCTCCCACACAGATCTGACTGCAACCCATCCCCATGTTCACCGTTTGTTGAGCTTTGGAAGCTTCTTTTTGATGCTGTGGTTTGGTTAAATTATTCTTAAGAGAAGCACCTTTTAAAGAAGATTTCAGCACATCCACTGTCATCTCACTCCCATCTATACAACCTAATCGTTCTTGAAGTTCAGCAAATGTGTCACATTTGAGACAATCTCGCTCTGGCTGTTTTTGTTCTGCTTTCAGAGTTTCAACGTCCCCCTGCACGGAGTCATCTGTCTTTTTTTCTCCAGGAAGTTGAGGAATTCTTAGAAGCTCTTCTAGAAGAGCTGTAAACTCTGGATCATCCAAGTCAGCTTTACTGGGATGCAGAGAAGGTATGATAGGTAGAAATCTGGGTTGTGTCAGCACCGGGGCTCCTTTAGAATGGACTGAACCATCTGAATTAATTTGGATGACAGTGTCACAGGACTGATCACTACTGGAACGATCCATTTGACCACGCAGGCAAAAAGGACGAAAATCCACATCTACCTCTTCTGTGGAGTGAAATGCTCGTAGAGACAAAGACTGAGGCCCTCTTTTCTCTTTAGTTAAACTCCTCCCACAAGGAGAGCATGATGCAGATTGCTGTTGGATATAGATAAATCATGTTATTAGAGGAGGTTTTTGTCAGTGGTCCTCAACTACAGTAAACAATAGTAATTTGAAACAAAAATACTCAATCTGACAGTGTGTGTTTTTACGTTTAAATCAAAAGACATCATAAAACTGATGTCTTGTTTAAATTGTTCTCTTTCTGGGAAAAAAAATACTACATATATCTGTTCCAGACAAGTGTAAATTACTGTACTTTTTCTCTATGATCAACATAGAGATCTTTGAGACATTGTGTATCATTGAACTTAAAGTATTCTCATAAATATGCAAGACTATAACTAAAAATAATTTCTGTCCTCAGTCCCTTGACAAACCAAGGTCAGCCACATGAAATATCCATCCATCAATTAAACCATTTTATTTTCTCACGTTTTTCATTTCCAGATCGCAGATCTGTTGTCAGTTTCTAACAGTCACATTGTGAGAGGTGGGGTACACCCTGGAGAGGTCACAAGTCCATCATAGAGACACACTCTCATTCACTTGTAGCGACAATTCACTGTTACCACTTAAGCTAATATGCATGTTTGGTGGGAGAAAACCAAGTACCTGAAGAAAACCCACATATTCACAAGGAGAACATGCAAACTCCACCTAGAGCTATCAGCTGCAGTGAATCATGTTTATCAACAGGAAATTGAGATGCCTTGGCAGCATAAAATATAAAAGTCAGTTTATGAATATTTATGAGCTTGTCTGTGCATTTTTGTATAATTATTATTGCCAGTAGTGGGCAGCACTAATTTAATATTTAGTTGCGCAATTTCTAAAGCACTTTTGATTTATTTAGGTCCGCAAGTTCAAAAGTGCATATGCTCAATAAAACTTAGCAGAAGCWAAACATAAACCACAAGTCTGTTTCTGTTCACTAGAAGATATTCCAATGACACTAAGAGACATGTTAGCTGCACAGTACTGCCAACTACTGGAATGATAATTTCCTTTTACAGATTGGCACATTTTGTCGCAGTTTGGGGACGTAAATTGTTGAAACAGTCTTTTGAGTCATGGGCTGTGTTCAAAACGACAGGCGGGTCCTCTGGAGGACCCAGACTACACTCTAAAAATGAAATGTTGGATTTACTTAACCATGTTATGTGACCCCGTTCCAYTTAACTGAGTTGAGTAAATTCAAAGCAACATACTCATGTTCTTTGGTTAAAAAACTGGTATATTGCTTTGAATTTACTCAACTCAGTTAAGTGGAACSRGGTCACATAACATGGTTAAGTAAATCCAACATTTCATTTTTTACAGTGTATCCAGTCGAGTTGGGCCAGGTCCTTGGTAGACCAGGAAGACCGGAAAAAAAGAGGCTGTGAATTTGGACGGACTAGCCTCCCCTCCACCCTGGCGTACGTCATGTCACCTAGCAACTGTGACGACGCTAAACAAGCAAACTTAAATAGAAAAATATCAATACATTAGCATTATTAATATCACAAAACAATAAAATTAACTTAAAGGTAACATTTGAAGAACTAATTGACCCGCTGTAGGTGCATGTTTATTTCGCGTTTTTTTTATGTCAAAAATAATATTTAAAATCATGTCTATACAAATGATAAAAGTGTTAGAATTAGAACCGCTAAAATATTTTAATTTTCATATCGCCATATTTTTATTTAAAACGTATTCTTTTCTCTCGCTTCGTCCGCCATTACTAGCTTTAAAAAATCTCCGGTCGGGCCGCAATGCATTATTGGATACGCTGGGCCGGGAAGGATCCATCAGACCTGTCCTTCAAATCGGGGAAAAAGAAGGACGTATTTGTCGGCCGCATCGGAGGAGTCTTCGGTTTTGGACGTCCTTCGTCGCGGCGCTGTGACGTATGCGGCCGACAAATTCGACCTTCGGAGGACACGGCCTACCATTTTGGACACAGCCATGGGATTAAAAAATTGTTGTGGATTGCTAGTTCTGCTGCTTCTTGGTCATTTTCTTATATTTATGGTAGGGCTTCGGTAAGAAAGCATGCAGATAAATTAGTAATTTTAAACTTTTTTTTACAAAAAAAAATGTAACTTTAAATTTTTTATTTTAAAACTGAAGCGATGCATTCTGGGTAGGCTACAGGACGAACAGGAACCCATGTTCATTTCAAAATAGCTTGAATTTAAACTGTTTCGTGTGAGTTTCAATACAACGAGACAGCGGGTTGGTGGTATAATTCCTCCCTCTACCCTCCCAAAGCTCATTTAAGTATATAATATAGCTCCAATTGCTTCCTGCCATGCAAAGAATTGCAGGAACTCTACTAAATTGAAACCATCATGAAGGACAGTCTGTCAGAGTATATAGCTCTGAGAATACAAATACGGTATGTCTGGGGGGTTGCTGTTTCCACACAATGGTGCTCCATTGTGTTGACAAGAGACTGCTTCCTCCTCCAATGTTGAAGAAAATGAAAATAATAATAAGCGCAAAGGAGAAGTTTAGGTCCGCAATTAGCACTTTTGTGCTTTAGAGAACTAGTACCACCATTGATTATTGCCACCACCATAAAAGTTGACAGATCATGTCTCATGATCTCATATCTCTGTGTATCTGTCTGTCTGTATGTCTGCAAAACATTTCATGGYTCACTGAACATCTTTAAAGAAACTTTTGGAAAATTAATTTTGAATGTAGTTGCAGCTGATTAACTTTTGAAGTTACCTTGACTGAAAACGGCCACAAAAGCTAATTAAACTGAGAAAACACAAAAACTGTTAYGATTAATCTTTTTTCATAGATGTAAAAAGAACACGTATTTTGTTCCATTACTCTGTCCCAGAAAACCAACTGTTGAAAGTTCTGTATAACAAAACAAATAAGGTTCATTACAAGTTTATTCAGATTTACCAAAAATCTTTGTGAAGTACCTTTGTCCTCTTTTGTGTCCTGCGAATGCGGGAAGCCAGCTGGATGGTAGAGAAGCTCTCGTTAAGCTGCGCCAGTGAGTCGGCAACCTGAGCGATCACAGCAAYGTGGCAGTTTGAATGAGCCACAGATTCCCGAAGGAGCAGCGACAATTTACTGGCCCTGTGCAAATATCCAGGAAATGACGCATGCGTCAGTACTTCTTTAGCCAAATATAAGTCAGCAGGTAAACTGTAAATAATTTATGAGATCAGTTACAGATCAGTGATTCTCATCATCTGTATCATTCTGGAGTTATATTATTCTTACTTGCTAGGGATGGATTTATGTCCACTCAGAAGAGACAAGACAATGGGGCCCAGTTCAGAATGAGGGGGTTTATTTTTGTTTACACCCCTCATACCACTACACACATCTATCATAGTCAACTTAGTGGTCCCTCTTGAACCTAAGAAGGAAAAATCAAAGATTAGATGAGAAAAGGAAAAAAGTTGTGCATCTTATAATAGGTCTTTTGTTATGTCCTAATTGGGTCTAACAGAATTGTTCACATCTGTTCACAGTTTTATACTGGGTCATACTGTATTGCCCCTTAGCTTTCCAGCTTCAATGAGTCTCTTACTCTCTTACATGATATATTTATATTCACACTATAGTTATCTTGCATGAAATGATCTTATCCCTTTCATTTTCTGACTAACATTTGTTTTGCAGTTATTTAATAAAAATAAGCAGCTGGGTTTTCTCCCATGCCACTTATTGCTTCTGTCACAGCAAAAGATAAAAGAAATTACTACAGGAAACTAAATAATATAAGCACTAGATTTTGATATAGTTGTGCAAAATGATTTATCTGAAGATACTTAATTGGAATGCTCATTTCCTGTTGCATATTTTTATTCCATGACTCCACTGCAGCAGTCTGTCAAGTAAACAGTTAAAAGACATTTACTTGTGCAGCACTGCCCTTTGTTTAACCTCTCATTGCCCTTTATTTAACCTCTCAGGTCATCCTTTTTCTGAAGCAAGCCATTTAGCTCCTGTTTTTAAAAGCCCCATCTATAAAGCTTTTAGAGCTCACAAACATTAAAGCTGTACATTAAGGGGTCTGTTCCTTTTTGAATTAATGTTCTGTCTAATAACTTATCAGTCGTGACATCAGTCATGGAGCAGGGTTATACAGAAAAGGGCAAAAGTCTTTGTTCAGGCCGGGCTAATGGCTAGCTAAACAAAGACCCATTTTTTATTGCTTTACGGGCTTATCCACAGGTTTCTGTAAAAACGTATGTAGGCTGCCATGACAGACCACCAGGTGTGCCCCCCCACCCGGTTTCATATTTCTGGTACTGATGCCATATTGCAAGAAGCAGAGATTTATTCATTCAGAGAGTCATTCATTGCTTATGATAACAACAAAACCAGTTTGTTTTCGCTTTAACTGGCGGCTTGAGCAGTTTTATCACAAATTTGGGTTCAACTTGTGTTTTTGTCAGCTGCCACAACAATTGAGGAAAACAGAGCAACACTTTAGAAACATTTTGTCTGGAACAACAAAAAGTRGGAAAGACATGTCCACGCCCAGCGCCCTACGCCCCACGCACTGCACTTTATSCCGAAGGAGGAGGATTGTAAACTAATGTGGCTGGCACCTTTGAAACTCAAAGCCCACGGAACACAGTCTGATTGGTGGGCCTGATGGATAGAGCTTCATCAGAGCTAAACAACCAAAACAAAATCTGAAGCTCCTATGTTGAATAGTTTCTGAGTTATAAGCATTTTTGCATGTCCTGACACCCCCTCTTTGAAAGGAGTCCCCTCCTCAAATATGGGGTCTATTGTAAAACCGTTGGCTGGCTCAGTGTAGGTCAGACTCATCTACAGCCCTGCCAAATTTCATGTTGATCGGTGCAGCCGTTTTTGTTCTAAGATTGACCAAAAATCACTGAAAAAAATAAAATAAAAAAATAAACAGTACAAAAACAATATGAGTCCCGCTTACGCTTCGCGTGCGGGGGTCATAATAAGTTTTTTTTTCTCATCTTGCCCTAATCAACTGCATACATAAAGGGGGGAAAAGGAAAAGTGCTTTCAAAAATTGTAGATGAATATTTCTTTCCAACCTTTTCCAATAGTATTGCTTTCTGTCCGAGGCGGCTGGATGTAAAGTGTGAAAAACATTATAGAGCTGTGACACAAGTACGTAACGAAGTCTGTGTGTCTACGAGCTGCGATGGCTGCGTCCAACAGAGAGGCTGCCCGCTCAGCCGTGGGGGCCTTCACTCGGTTATGGTTACGTATCTGAAAGGATAGAAATTATTTAAAAAATTATCTGTGAAAGACATTTTTGTTTCCTAAAAAACACTCTGGTTATTGACTAGTCCTCCCATCAAAATAATGCTTTTATAGAGGAAAATAATTTTTCAAGCTAAAGAAATGTCAGAGAAGAGTTTGGCACCATCCCTACTATTTTGTAAATGTTTTGAAACAAAGCTTCTTCTTTTTTTTGTTTATTAAAAAAAAAAGAAAATCCCACTTTATTGCCTGACTACACCACACTGCAGGAGGTTTTAAAAATAGGGTAAAGAATATCAACTTTTAAAGTCAAAACAGCAAACGAGAAATATCCAGTTGCAGGTTAATTTCTAAATGGAACTTTTGACATATTGCCAAAACAGCWAAGCCAAGACGCTGACACTTTATTAGCTGTTACAAATACCCTAAATTCCCTTTGGCTCCAATTTATCTTGCTTACTAAGATTGATTAAACTCTACAGGATCATTTATGTAACAACATCTTGGCAAATTTACTCAGATTGTGCTCTTTGTGGACATGCAACTTTCTTGTGAACCATTGACCATTTTGGTCAGGTTTTTTTTCAAAATAAAGAACTTCCTGGTACCTGTATCCCATAGACAGAGTCCTCTTGCACTCTAACATGGGCTTTTGGGCTGTCCTGGGCGCTGCCTGTCGAGGGGCCRACTTCCCCCAGCAGATCCCTCAAAGTATCCTCCTCACCACAGCACAGCTCTATGGCGGACACTGACACGGTCAGATCAGTCCAGGTCCTCTCTCGGCGCCGCTCAATAGCGCTATACAACCAAGAGATGGCACAGGGAATCAGGCCGAGCTTCTGGATGTTCTCACTGCTGCCCACCATGCTGGACCAGGACCCTGAAGCAGACAGAAGACAACTAAGATGCAGCTGTTGGGAACAATGTTGCACTAACTGTAGTCTGATAGTGATTTATTGGAACCATTCTTTTTTTCAGGGTAAAAAGGATTATCCAACATACAAATTTAATGATTTTTAAAAACAAGAACTGGGTGAATGTTTGATGTTTGTTCAGGAACCATCAAGGCCAACCATGAATTGAAATCATTGGAATGCCAGTGTTAGTCTCCACAGTGAAGTCAGTTTTACATCACATTGACAGAGAAGGTGTATAAGAAAGAAGCTCCCGCTCCAAAAGCAACAATTTAAAGCTCAACTTATATTAGCAGTAGTTAAGACATGGTCACATGATCACAAGGACAAGAAGTATGTTYAAAAGAGTGAACGTGAGGTATTCATACCTAAGAACATTGGACAAACTGTCAAACACAGAGGAGTAAGCGTCATGATAGTGCATTGAAGTGGAAGGATTTATGAAGAGGAAGGACTACCTCCAAATCCCTCAACATAACCTCAGATCAACAGTTGATACTTGGACACAGTTGAAACTGGTTTCTGATTGRATAAATCAGGCTAACATCAAGATTTTGAAATGGTCTTGTCAAAACTCCAACCTCAACTCTACTGAAAATCTTTGAACTTCAGACAGAATTAAACCAAAACCTCCTTTATAAATRCAATATGCCTAAAGTGAATGTACAATTTGCTGAAGGAAGAAATATTGGTAGGTATACAGCAGGGCTATTCATCTACCGGTACTTTGCTTAAGGGGCTGCAGCCGACAGCTCAGGGGCCAGACATTCAGGAATTTAAAAAAAAACAGTCTACTTTAATCTTCTAATTTAAATCAATTATATTTTAAATTGTAAAAGGAGAATCTACAATTTTTATAATTTTGAAATCTATTTTATATTAAATAATGTCATTGGCAGTCATCTATATAGATC